GAAGAGGAGGCAATGGAAACAGGGAAAAAAAAAAAAAAATACGAAGAGGAGGCAATGGAAACAGGGAAAAAAGAAAAAAAAATACGAAGAGGAGGCAATGGAAACAGGGAAAAAGAAAAAAAAAATACGAAGAGGAGGCAATGGAAACAGGGAAAAAAAAGAAAGAAAAGGAATACGAAGAGGAGGCAATGGAAACAGGGAAAAAAAGAAAGAAAAAAATACGAAGAGGAGGCAATGGAAACAGGGAAAAAAGAAAGAAAGGAATACGAAGAGGAGGCAATGGAAACAGGGAAAAAAGAAAAAAAAATACGAAGAGGCAATGGAAACAGGGAAAAAGAAAGAAAGGAATACGAAGAGGAGGCAATGGAAACAGGGAAAAAGAAAAAAAAAAAATACGAAGAGGAGGCAATGGAAACAGGGAAAAAAAAGAAAGAAAGGAATACGAAGAGGAGGCAATGGAAACAGGAAAAAAAAAAGAAAAAAAATACGAAGAGGAGGCAATGGAAACAGGGAAAAAGAAAGAAAAGGAATACGAAGAGGAGGCAATGGAAACAGGAAAAAAAGAAAGAAAGGAATACGAAGAGGAGGCAATGGAAACAGGGAAAAAGAAAGAAAAAAATACGAAGAGGAGGCAATGGAAACAGGGAAAAAAAGAAAGAAAAAATACGAAGAGGAGGCAATGGAAACAGGGAAAAAAGAAAGAAAAAATACGAAGAGGAGGCAATGGAAACAGGAAAAAAAAAGAAAAAATACGAAGAGGAGGCAATGGAAACAGGGAAAAAAGAAAGAAAGGAATACGAAGAGGAGGCAATGGAAACAGGGGAAAAAAGAAAAAAAAAAATACGAAGAGGAGGCAATGGAAACAGGGAAAAAAAAGAAAGAAAAAATACGAAGAGGAGGCAATGGAAACAGGAAAAAAAGAAAGAAAAAAATACGAAGAGGAGGCAATGGAAACAGGGAAAAAAAAAAAAAAAATACGAAAGGAGGCAATGGAAACAGGGAAAAAAGGAAAAAAAAAAATACGAAGAGGAGGCAATGGAAACAGGGAAAAAAGAAAGAAAAAAATACGAAGAGGAGGCAATGGAAACAGGAAAAAAAGAAAAGAAAAAAAAATACGAAGAGGAGGCAATGGAAACAGGAAAAAAAAAAAGAAAAAAAAAATACGAAGAGGAGGCAATGGAAACAGGGAAAAAAAGAAAAGAAAGGAATACGAAGAGGAGGCAATGGAAACAGCGAAAAAAGAAAAAAAAAAAATACGAAGAGGAGGCAATGGAAACAGGAAAAAAAAGAAAGAAAAAAAAATACGAAGAGGAGGAATACGGCAATGGAAAAAGGGAAAAAAAAAGAAAGGAATACGAAGAGGAGGCAATGGAAACAGAAAAAAAAAAAAGAAAGGAATACGAAGAGGAGGCAATGGAAATAGCGAAAAAAAAAGAAAAAAAAGGAATACGAAGAGGAAATGGAAACAGGGAAAAAAGAAAAAAAAAATACGAAGAGGGAGGCAATGGAAACAGGGAAAAAAGAAAGAAAGGAATACGAAGAGGAGGCAATGGAAACAGGGAAAAAAGAAAGAAAGGAATACGAAGAGGAGGCAATGGAAACAGGGAAAAAAGAAAGAAAAAAATACGAAGAGGAGGCAATGGAAACAGGAAAAAAAGAAAGAAAAAAATACGAAGAGGAGGCAATGGAAACAGGGAAAAAAGAAAGAAAGGAATACGAAGAGGAGGCAATGGAAACAGGGAAAAAGAAAAGAAAAAATACGAAGAGGAGGCAATGGAAACAGGGAAAAAAAGAAAGAAAGGAATACGAAGAGGAGGCAATGGAAACAGGGAAAAAAAAAAAAAAAAATACGAAGAGGAGGCAATGGAAACAGGGAAAAAAAGAAAAAAAAATACGAAGAGGAGGCAATGGAAACAGGGAAAAAAGAAAGAAAGGAATACGAAGAGGAGGCAATGGAAACAGGAAAAAAAGAAAGAAAAAAATACGAAGAGGAGGCAATGGAAACAGGGAAAAAAGAAAGAAAGGAATACGAAGAGGAGGCAATGGAAACAGCGAAAAAAGAAAGAAAGGAATACGAAGAGGAGGCAATGGAAACAGCGAAAAAATAAAGAAAGGAATACGAAGAGGAGGCAATGGAAACAGGCAAAAAAGAAAGAAAGGAATACGAAGAGGAGGCAATGGAAACGGAAAATAGAAAAAAAAAGAAAGAATACGACTAAGAGAGAAAACGAAACAGAGTAAGCATTAAAGTAAATACAAAATTGGCGAGATGGAAAAAGAATGAGCGAAAAAGAAAGAATAGAAAGAGAAAAAGAGAAGATAGAAAAGAAAGGAGAATAAGAATTAAATATGAAATGTGTACGATGAAAAAGACAAAGGAGAAATGATGAAAGAAAAAGAGAAAAACAAACAAAGTACAAAATATGATGTAAAGCAACAGGAATAGTAATTTGGCGTAGACATTAAATAAAAAGCTGTGGCATCTCTTCCTATCAAGCAT